AGGAGTACTACAGGTGTCTCCAATGGTCGATGTTGGGTTGGCGTATTTCGAGATTAGGATTTGTCACTCCGATTGTCGGAGAGGTATCTCTGGGCCCTCTCGGTAATACACATCACATAAGCCTTGCAAGCATTACAACTAAATATGTTAGTTGTGAGATGATGTATTACGGAACGAGTAAAGAGACTTGCCGGTAACGAGATTGAACTAGGTATTGGATACCGACGATCGAATCTCGGGCAAGTAACATACCGATGACAAAGGGAACAACGTATGTTGTTATGCGGTCTGACCGATAAAGATCTTCGTAGAATATGTAGGAGCCAATATGGGCATCCAGGTCCCGCTATTGGTTATTGACCAGAGACGTGTCTCGGTCATGTCTACATTGTCTCGAACCCGTAGGGTCCGCACGCTTAAGGTAACGATGACAGTTATATTATGAGTTTATGCATTTTGATGTACCGAAGGTTGTTCGGAGTCCCGGATGTGATCACGGACATAACGAGGAGTCTCGAAATGGTCGAGACATAAAGATTGATATATTGGAAGTCTATGTTTGGACATCGGAAGTGTTCCGGGTGAAATCGGGATTTTACCGGGTTACCGGGAGGTTACCGGAACCCCCCGGGAGCCATATGGGCCATCATGGGCCTTAGTGGAAAGGAGAAAGGGGCAGCCCAAGGTGGCTGCGCCTCTTCCCCCTCCCCTAGTCCTATTAGGACTAGGAGAAGGTGGCCGGCCCCCCTCTCTCCCTTCCCCTCCGAGGAATCCTAGTTGGACTAGGATTGGGGGGAGGAATCCTACTCCCAGAGGGAGTAGGACTCTCCTGCGCCTCCCTCTATGGCCGGCCAGCCTCCCCCCCTCTACTCCTTTATATATGGAGGCAGGGGCACCTCTAAACACACAAGTTGACACAAGTTGATCCACGTGATCGATTCCTTAGCCGTGTGCGGTGCCCCCTGCCACCATATTCCTCGATAATACTGTAGCGGAGTTTAGGCGAAGCCCTGCTGCTGTAGTTCATCAAGATCGTCACCACGCCGTCGTGCTGACGGAACTCATCCCCGACACTTTGCTGGATCGGAGTCCGGGGATCGTCATCGAGCTGAACGTGTGCTCGAACTCGGAGGTGCCGTAGTTTCGGTGCTTGATCGGTTGGATCGAGAAGACGTACGACTACTTCCTCTACGTCGTGTCATCGCTTCCGCAGTCGGTCTGCGTTGGGTACGTAGACAACACTCTCCCCTCGTTGCTATGCATCACATGATCCTGCGTGTGCGTAGGAAATTTTTTGAAATTACTACGAAACCCAACAGAACCAACGCTGCCATGCCGGCGAGTCGACCGCGTACGCCGGCCCTTGCTGCTACTTCGGCGTCAGCAGCTGCCATCGGCGCTGCACCTCCTTTGCGTGTGCCCGTGCCGACCGCGGCCCCACCGTCAATGGGTCCTCTCCGGATCCAAGTGTCAGTCGTGCGGCAGCGTGACGTCGAGGTAGGGAAGAGGGACGCGGTGCTCCCAGCGCCACTTCGCTTGGTGCACTGGGACGGCGATCCACTGCCTTGGCCGGCCGGAAGACAACAACAGAGGGGGGAGGCGCGTGGGGAGAGATGGCGGGGCCTTGCCCTTTTCCTTTCCTGAGAAGAGACCCATTGCGGCTTGCAGTGGCTACAATTTGCTAGGCTTTTGTCGCCGACGGAAGAGCACAGGGGTAGCGAGATGGAGACGGGGTGTCTGGAAGCGGATGAGGACGGGCCCGCACCGTACGCTTGGATTAAAAAAGGCCGACCGCCTTCACTGACGCGTGGGCCCGCGATGGGCGTTCGCCATTAATAAAGATGATCATGGTAGTTGGGCAGCTGCCAGGTGGGGACGCGGCGGACAGCAGGAAGACGCGCGAGACGGTCGCTTCGCGTCCACGTCGACGCATTTCTGCCACAAATTTAGGGCATAAATAGGTCCGCACGGACGCGAAGCGGACACGTTTTACGAATAGATTGGCGCGTTGGGCCTTTATCTTTGTCCGCGCCAACCCAAATAAATGACGGTAGACAAAATGGGTACCTGTGTTGAAGTTGCTATAAGATAGCAACATGGAAGAGTTGCGTCGCGCTAGACCCGGCAGTTTGTTCACAAAGGAAGACAACGACGGAAGTTGTGTCAACGATGATCGGCAAAGCAGTGCCAGGGACGGGAAAGGGAACAAAGACGATGGTGACATTTGTTTCGTGGCATATCTAGTTTGAGCGTAACAGCTACACCTTCATAGCAACTCAAACAGACCGATCTAAATGGACGGCGATTTCGTCCGTTTTTTATTCGTTTGGATTGGCCGCCCGCCCGCGCCGACGCATATGTGCAGGCGTGGCCGGCTGGCCGTCTAATTTTGCATTGCATTCAACATATTATGAAATGAGAATTTAACAAACAAAATAGTCCGCCCAAATAAACAGTATATTTTACAGGCCAAATAAAAATAAAAATGTTTCACATAGTTTTGCAAACGAATAAAAAAAGATACATCTATTGGTTGCCAACATGAGTCCACATATACTCAACCAAATCATTTTGCAGTTGCACGTGAGTTTCCCAATCACGCATGTCTTCATGAAACTGAGTGAACTGCTCAAATGTTGCCGATACTCCATGCTCAGGCATAATATTCTCACCCTGAAACTGAAAGTCTTGATCATACAGACGTTCCGGGCGATCGTCTTCTACGATCATATTGTGCATGATCACACAAGCAGTTATCACCTTCCATAGTTTCTGCGTGCTCCAAGTATTAGCAGGATACCGAACGATGCCCCATCGAGATTGCAAAACACCAAAGGCACGCTCGACATCCTTTCTAGCACTCTCTTGCTCTTGGGAAAATCTTTTCCTTTTCTCTCCGACAGGGTTGGGTATTGTCTTTACAATAGTGGTCCACTGAGGATAGATACCGTCACCCAAATAGTACCCTTTGTCGTAATTGTGGCCGTTGACGGTAAAGTTCACCGGTGGGCTGTTGCCTTCGGCAAGTCTAGCAAACAACGGCGAGCGCTGAAGCACGTTGATATCATTGTGTGATCCAGCCATGCCAAAGAAAGAGTGCCAGATCCAGAGATCTTAAGACGCCACGGCCTCTAGTATGACAGTGCAAGCCCTGACATGTCCCTTATACTGCCCTTGCCAAGCAGAAGGGCAGTTCTTCCACTCCCAGTGCATGCGGTCTATGCTGCCAAGCATCCCTGGGAAGCCCCTGCTAGCATTCATCGCCAACAAACGGGCTGTATCTTCAGTTGTCGGCTATCTCAAGTACTCAGGGCCAAACACAACAATCACAACCTTGCAAAACTTATACAGGGACTCTAGGCATGTAGACTCGCTCATACGGACGTACTCGTCAATGAGATCACCGGGCACTCCGTATGCAAGCATTCGGATGGCGGCAATGCATTTCTGATAAGAGGAGAAACCAATCTTGCCGACGACATCCTTTTTGCACTCGAAGTAGTCATCATAGCCGACCACTCCCTCTTTAATACGGTTGAAAATATGCCTACTCATATGGAACCGGCGGCGGAATTTGTGATGTTTGAACAACGGGTTTGTTGTATCAAAGTAGTCCTTCCAGAGAAGGAAATGCCCGCTCTCCCGGTTACGATTCAACGCCGGAAGGTGGCCCGGAATGGAGCCACGGAACAACGGCCGCTGTTTGTTGAGGTGGTGATGGACCAACACGATAGTCAATATCTCCTCCTCGTCGTCAGACGACGAATTGTCGGAGTCGCAAAGAAAATTATGGAAAAAGAACTCGTCGGTGGAGTCCATTTTCGTACCTTGGCAAACTGTCGAACAGCTTGCGGGCATCGAAGAAGAAGACGGCCGGCGAGGGGAGACGCGACGCCCACAGACCAGCTAGCTGCCCGGCCGGCGTCCGACGAGTGTGACGACGTCCGACGAGTGTGCTGGTCGTATGTGGCGGGGGCAGCGAGGCATCTTGTTGGTCGCAGGCGGCTGGGCGGCGGGGGAAGCGGCGGCGAGAACCAGCTTGCTCCCCGGCGGCAAAACGGCGGCGGCGGGCGACTGGGGACAGGGGCGGCGTTGCTGGGCGGATGTGGAGGCGGCGGCAGCTGGAAGAGTCGTCGGCAAAATGAGCGGCGGCGTCGGTGACGGTGGAGACGGGGGACGAGGGTTGCTTGTTGGCCGGGGGGAGGGGAGGCCAATGTGCAACAGACGAGCGGGCCCGGGAACAGGAGTAGGCGAGCGCGCGCGCGTCCGTCGCATGTCCGCGCTGATGCAAATTAGGCTTAAAAATGGGTCGGAAATGGGTCGCCCGCGGATGAAAAACGAACGCGCGTCCGTTTAAGTCGGCGCGTTGGGCTGTCTTTTCTGTCCGCGCTGATTCAAACGGATGGCCGCGGATGAAATGAATCGCCCCATTAAAATTGCTCTCAGGGCAAAGCTTCCGAGCGTGAAGGACGTGATTGACGCAAACAGAAGTGACATGAAGTAATGGCGGATAGCCGGTGCAAAATGCATAGCGACCCTTTTTGGGAATTTGACGTGAGAAATGGCGCGAGTTTGTGAAAGAGGGCTTCCCTCTCTTTCTCTTTGTCTTTTTCTTGTTTCTTGTTCCTTTGATCACATGATCACTTGATCACCACTCTTTGTCTTTGTGGTCACACTTCTGCCAAATCAATGAAATACCAGTATTTACGATTGTATTGTGTTAAAAAAAGTTAAAAGGGCAATGATTACTCGGTGAAATAGTAGTAGTAGACACGAAACACTTCCAATCTTTCTATGCTAAAGCAGGAATAGAGTTCGTTCGACATGCCTCGGCACGGCATCTCCACCGGCCGTCGACGTCGATGCACGCATGCAGGTGCAGCCAGTAGTCCAGTACCACATGATACAGGCAACACGCACCCGTAAGCCGTAACACACGGCGCGGATGCGCTAGCCGGTCACAACGCCGCCGACGAGCAGCCGGGAGGATCAAGTTATACCTACGACACGCAGCTATCCGGGATGGCGATCGAGTGCTGCATCCGTAGCTGCTCGTAAAACCTCTTGATGAAGTCGTCGGCCTCGGCGTCCACGCGCTCGCTGCTGCCGCTGTTGCCGTCCTCCGGCACGACCGGGAACGGCGAGTCGGTGACGCGCAGCCGCCGGACACCAGCGGGGCTGCGGCCCAGGATCCATGCCACCATCGGTGATGGCGTCGCCGTCGCCATCCCTGCCACCGCCGGCGTGGCTCTTCCGGACTCCACGTCGGCGCTCATCATCTCGAACGCCCGCGCCACCGCAGCGGCATCCAGGCCTCCGTAGTCGTCGCGGGCGGTGCCCCGACCGCCTCCGCTGCGCCCGCCGCGGCTCTTAAAGGGGAAGAGCCCGTAGTACTGCGGGTACGACGGCGTGGTGGTGCAGCTGAACTCCACCGCCCGCGCGTGGTGCCCGTAGAACGACGCCATGGTGGAAGTGGGGGAGGAGGAGATACGGTGGCCATGGCCATGGGCCGTGGCGGGTTGGGCTAGGAGGCCGCGAAGCGCCCGACCGGCGAGCTTGCCGCGGCCGAGGAGGAGATTCAGGTCCATCATGAGCCGCTTCCGGCAGAGTCCGCGGCGCAGCATGTGGCACACGGCGAGCACAACGTGCCACAGCCGCCGCGCCAGCCCATGCTCCATGGGCCGCCGCGCGGGCGTCGTCGCGAGATCCATTAAATTGTCCTAGAAAGGGTGTGGATGCGACGATACAATGGAAATAAACAGACACACCTGACAGATTATGGAAGAAGAGTGTGAGAGTGATTAGCTTAAGGGATGAGCTTATCTAGGGGCTGATGGATTGTGCAGGCAGCGGGAGGAGAGGAGGGTTTATAGGGGAAAGAAAAGCTTCAACTTCAAGGGACCCACATAAACGCATCTTTATAGAAACTTTTGAATATGCACAAGAACAAATTTCATGTTAACTTTTGTTGTTGTTTTTAGTACGAAATATCCATCATCGCCGTGATGTATTCCTTGTTCACTATTATAAGATATTCTTACTTTTTTCTAAACGGATGTATGAATATGTTTTAGTGTGTTTGTTCACTTATTTCAGTCTGTATATAATCAATATTGATATATCCAAAACATCTTATAATAGTAAATGGATGGAGTACTATATGCTACTAGCTACAAAGAAATTGGCATGTTTGTCGATACACTTATTTTGGCATGATACATGTTTTCTCTTTCGAGCTTTCGGAGTCTCATTAGATGGTAAATTGTACTAAAATAATATTGAAGGTAAATGCATGTGTCTAGTCCAAACTATTGAATGAACAAATTCTCAAATCATATTAGAATCCTATTAAAATCCTTCCAGTTAGGCAAATTACAAACTTAAATTTGACAGAAAAATCCACCGACAAGTAAAATTCCAAACATTCCGAATTGGTCCGAGAGAGGAAGGAGATACAATACTGGCCTATTCTTCTTTCTTCCCGGTCCTTTTACCCGTGCAGTTGTTATTGGCAATGATCGCAAACTGGCCACAGAAACACGATACTTAGGGGCTGCTCGGACTCTCTCCACTCTCCAACTCCACGCCGGAGCGGAGCAGGATCTAGTTTTAATTTGGGGAGTGGCTGGAAGGGCCCTTCACAGGCTCCGCTCCGTGGCAATTTTGTCGAACAGGGCCTTACACAAGGTATCTACCCAATGCAATCAGTTATACACTTGTGCAAACTCAATCAGCACACAAGATGTATACACGATTGACGTACTGTCATGGATCTTGGTCAAAAGACAAGATACGTAGCGCCGGTTTCGTGCTCCCGTGTTTAGCAAAAGCTAAAGCTTAAATTGCTTAGGGAGCAAGTGAGGAATTAGTCCGTTCTCATTTCCTTTTCCTACTTGCTTGCTTGTATTCTTGATTTCCTACCTTTGCCTAAAGCATGGTCATGGATCAGCTCGGAGCTCGAGGACATGACCATGGCTTTCCAAAGGCTGGTGCTACCTTTTCTTATATCGGGAATCACAGTTGTGTACAGCTGGTTACCTTGCTAAGAACGTACAAAAACTGCTAGATGTAAAAAAAAAACTCAATTTCAGCCATCGCAAGTTCTAGAACCACCAGATCCAATCTAAATACCATCACAGAGGGGTTCATCATCCTCATTGGCGCTTCTCGGATGATGCGTGAGTAGTTCTTTATAGACCTACGGATCCGTAGTTAGTAGCTAGATGGCTTCCTCTCTCTCTCTCTC